ATAGTTTGCATGCTCATGGTTGCTTGGGTTTGATGCCCTCCATCCATATGGAGCCAGCTTGCTGGAAAGTGGTGATTGCAGAGAAAGGCTGGGAATCCTGTGGCTGCGGGGAGGTGGCTCAGCCCCTTGCAAGAGGTTTGGGTGCACTGGGAAGAGGTGGCAAAAAGAAAAAAGCCATTGTCACCGAGGGACAGGCAGCAGTGAAGGGCTGTGTGTCACGTGCAGGGGAGATGCGGCTGCTGGGCACTGCCTAGCCCCATCCTGAGCAGCTCTGGTGCAGAAGCATGGTCTTAAAGCCCGTCTCTTTGCTTGTACTGGCGAAAGTTAAGTGACTGCTTTTTGGAGCCCTTTCAAAGCCTGCCAGCTTGGCTGCCATGTGTCCTCCAAATGCGGGGCAGGATGCTTGGCTCACTCCCAGCTGCCTGGGAAGGGACCTGGGTTGCAGGTTGCCAGCCCTGCCTGCTGCCCGTGGCCAAAGCCAGGGGAGCCCTGCCAGGACGGCAGCTCCCGGCTCCTTCATTCCCTGGGGCCGTGGGGCTGGCAGCGCCGGGGAGGCGTGTGGGTGTGTAGACACGGAGGGCTCTGGGATGTGAGCAATGCTGGTGGTTCACCGCCACCCGGCAGGGATTGCTTCCGAAGGCAGCTCTGTGCCTGGGAAGCTGGCAGCAGGGCTTGCAGTGTTGGGGAGGCTTTGTGCTTTTTTGGTGGCTTTCCTAAAAATGGTGCCTTTTGCAATCCTCCCAGTCCTTCAACAAAACTTTTCCTGGCAGAACCCCTCCAAAACTTCTTGGAATTAAGTTTTCGAAAGGGTTAAAGACATTTACACTTCTTGTATGACACTGACAGGTTTCCTGCTGTGGAGATTTCTTGCGGGAACTCCACTTCATGTCGGTGGGTTGGGCTCGGGGGGCTGAATTGCCTCCAGGAAACACAGGGAAGATTTTCAGCCTAGAAGAAAGGGCAGAGGTGATGAGGGAGGAACCTCGGAAACTGCTGGGGATGGAGACCCCATCCCTTCCATCCCACCATCCCAGGGAAGGCATTGTTCCCAGTGCCCAACCTGAACTGTCTGTCTGCCATCTGGGGTGTTGCTTTGAGAATGATGTTCCCCCATCCCCTTTGTGACTGACCCCAAAGGGCTGATCCTCATGGGGCTGCTCACACAGGTGAGACCGGCTCTGTGTGCTCATCGTTCACCTCCAGCTCCATACCCGTGGATGTGTGTGTGGCCACACCTGCATGGTGGTCAGCTGGGCTTGGCTGGCTCCCCTGGCCCTGCTGGCACAGGCAGGAGGATGGACACGGTGCCGCCCGCTGCCGGCCAGAGCCCGTGCTGGGGACACACACGAGATGGGCAGTGCTGCATTTGTCTGTGCGTTATGCACAGGGTCCCTCAAAGCTTTTCCATGGCCGGTGTCTGTATGCACGCTGCGTTTTATGGTAGAAAGCTCTTGCAGATGTCAGGAATAAAGACTGAAATGAATAGGGCATAACAAGCCCTGAAACATGACTTTTTGTCTGCAAATAATAAGGAATGAGTTACAGTCTTGGAAGAGCAGGAACATTACTCTGTGTGCAGGGTCCAGCCTGTCCCTGGTGTTGATTAGGTGCCCTCCTCGCACTGTCCTTTGCATGGAAGCTCTGCTTGAAATGTATTGTCTACAGATGGGTTTCTCAACCTTTTCTAACGCAGGGATGGCCAAACCTTTTTGGTGGAAATCCAAGGATCATTTTGTTCAGAGCCGCCACATGGTTTTATTTACGACCCATGCGAATTAGGCAAACGTCTCACTGTTTGTCTCTTTTATTTCATCCTCTCGCGCTTGCTTGTGCACATAGGAATGTGCGCGTGTGTGTTTAGGAACAATTTTGCAGACCGCTTCCTACTGTTGTTGGGACATGGAGCAGGTCCTGGACCCAGTGCAACAGCGGACAGCGATGGGCCCCTGTCCTTATTTCACATCACAGCTCAGTTCACTGGGCAGGTCCTCCTGGGGAGGCAGAAAGGCACCAGGCACTGCCCAAGCCATTCCACCATCTTCTGCCATGCCAGGGTCCCCAGCCCAAGGATGGAGAAAATCCTTGAGGATCATCAACGTCCCTGCCCTCACCAGGAGACCAGCTTCAGCCTTGGGCTTCAGGGCCATCCTCGTTCATTAACAGCATGTGGCTGAAAAGCAGCCTGAGCCCATGGTGCTGGGCTAAGTACTGCCTGGTGCATCCTTTGTGCTCATCGACAAGGGCTTTGGTTCCTCAGCTGCCTGCCTGGAAGTCCCTGGATCCCCCTGCTTCTGGAGGGGACACCCACGGCTCTGTCCTTGGGTCTGGAGATATACCCACCGACTGGCTTTTTGGCCGAGGAAGCGCTCAAAAGCGACTGCATCCCCTTTGGAAAAACCAGCCGCTCTGGGGTCCCCAGTAGGACTTTTTCTCCCTCCCTGGGAGGAGCCGCATGGGCTGCCCGGACCCTCGCAGAGCCAGGGCTGGTGTCGGCAGGAGACTTCCCAAAATCCATCCGCTTGTGTGAGTCCCCCACTTAGGGTGATGGGGCGGCGCTGCCAGCTCCCAAAGCCACGCTTAACTTGACACATGTGTGCAGCCCTGGGAAATGTGATGGCTCTGATTCTCATTTGTGCCGCCTTACCCTGTGCCAACCTGCCGGGAGGCAGGGCCCTGCCAGCAGCCGCGCTCCGCTCCGTGCCAGCCTCCCTTCCAACACACCGACCTCTCTGCCGGACGGGCCCGGGACGCCAGTCCCCACTCCTCCTGCCAGCAGACGTGGCGTGGGGTCCCAGTGAGATGGCTGCTCCCAGCCCGGGCGCTGCCGGGGAGCAGCACGAGGGGCCAAGCCTGTCAGGCGTGATGGGACGGTTTGCACCTCCTGCATCCCTTGCAGTCGCTGCCGGTGGCTGCCATTCGGGATCCCCGGGTTTGGGTGGTGGCTGTGCCGCTGGGCACCGTCCCCAGCACAGGGATGAGGAGGGATGGGGAGCCAGGGGTGCCTCACCTCTGCAGCTCTTTCTGGAGAGAGGTTAAGTTCTGCTTAAGCTCTGCTTAAGCATGATCCCGGTAGAGCCCTAATTTGGGGGATGCCCAAAGAGTGGCTTTATGGGGAGGGGGAGCTCCGCACAGCCCTACTTGGTGCAGAGCATCCCCAGGCATGTGCGCAGCTGCCCTCTGGGCTGTTTGACTTGGAGACGGAGTCACCAACAGCATTCGGGTGTCTCTGGGCTCCAGTAGCAGCTTGTCTCAGGATTTGGGACTGAGGTGCAGGGTGCTCCGCTCCACCACGTGCCCGTACCCCATGGGCTTTACCCTCCTGGTCCCGGCATGGTGGGTTTCAGGCTGTCGAGGGGTGTGGACAGACTGGCAGCGAGGCACATCCCTGGGTCCGGGTCCGGCTGTTCCTTGCTGACGAAACCCCCGGTTTGCGACACAATTTTTTGGTGTTTCGTCCTGGCCATTCGCTTTCTGTTCCGGCGCTTGCCTTGCGGGAAGGCTTTGGGGATGGGGGGGTGGGAGCTCATTTCAATTGTTCGGGGAATGGAAGTAACTTGTTTTGCAGCTGCAGAAACCCAGCGGAGCTTGGTGCGTGCAGGGAGTTTTTCCACTGCTGTCTCTCCCGTTTGAACAGTGTAACCTCGAGGGTTTCCGAACCAACGCGCGGCACGCTGCCACCCTCCTCGCAGCAGGGCCGGGTCTGGTGGCTGGCCTTTGGGCTGGAGCCTTGCCCGGGGTACTGGCTGTGCATCCCCTGCCCAAGGCCATTTGGGGGGAGAAATATGCACCTTCTGGGTTCTGTGGGTTTTTTGGTCAGGGTGGAGTGGACCTGAGGGGACAGAGGATCCCCCCAGTACAGGCTGGGATTGTGCTGCCAAAAGCCCAAGGCTTTGAGGGGTAGGAAGGTTCCCACCTTGGTCCCTCTGGGCAGAGGCGAATCTCCCACCTATTCCCACGTGACCCTGCAAAAATGAATCACCAAAAATGAAAGGAAGCAAAGAAAAAAAAAAATTAAAAAATCCCTCCCCAAAGCCGCCTTCCAGAGGGTTGGGCAAAAGATAAAAGCCTCCAAGGAGCTGGGACTCCTCCTCTCCCACCACCGACTCCTCATTTAAATGTCTGCGCGCAGGCTGCAGCCGGCACTGCCTCCGCAGCCGCCCCCGGGGAGCCCCCG